CGCTTCACTTTTTTAATTTTATTCGCGTTGATAAAATTAATTGCAAATTTACAAATCATTGATTATTCCAATTTATCAATTTTCTCTACGTTTAGCTATGTATTTTATCTAATTCACTGATTAATTTTATTTACAGACAAATAGTACGCCTTGTAATCTATGTGAGAGTTTAATCTAATTTAATCTCCGGAAATCGAATCCTGAGAAAATTGATCAGTTTTCACGAAATACGTTTCAACTATGGAGGCTATGAAGTATTTGCTAAACATACTAATTAAAAGCGTTTAATACGGTTAGGTCTTTGCTATTTATCTTTAGCTAAATAGCAAAGACAGAATGACAGATAGACCGTCGTTCCGATCGGTCGGAATCAACGGGTCGTACAAATAAATCGTACAATATAAGGGACACTTTAGTGTACATTAAATAGTTTGTTCAGTGTGTATAGAGATAATTTACTCGAGAATCGGCCCACATGACGCGAAAGTAAATAATCGGATCGGCTTTGGAGGCTTTAATTTTTTTTCGTGCACGGAAAATTTCAATATCGTTAATTAAAATGCATTATTTAATTGATGGAAATATTGTATTACGTTCAACGAACTTAAGAGACAGGTAAAAAATTTTGTTATACGCACCTCTAGAACGATAAGTTATTCGTAAAAGTATGTTTTATAAATTCATAATTTTAGACAAATCTATTACAACATTTCGCCTCCTCGTATCTGAATACGTACTGCACCCTGTTACGCGATATACTGAGTTTGAACCTCAGTGATACAGGTAAAAAAATGTGTTAGATCCACGTACTATAAATGAATCAAGCATTTGTACTTCAAATTACATACGACAATTAAAATTTGTCGAATATAATTTACAATTTCGTAAACTTATCACTTCACAAGGTTTTATCTTCTGTTTAAACAACTGAGTGTCGAATTACAATTTTCTTAAGTTCCTTTGCGGTTAAGTGTATAGTTTGAATACATTCGCCAGCTTTTCTCGTTCCATCTGCTTATCTTTAAAACTTGTCTTTGGGGCTCTATTTGTTCTCGCTAGGTTTAATATTCTCGAGAGTTTATAAAAATAATACCCATTAAAAGTAAAGAAACAGATTAAGATTAAGCACTTCACTTTAATTTTCAATTTTCAAAGAAAATTAGATAAGACGCGCTAAAAGTATTAGGTGTAATATTATTAAAGCGTAAACGTTCTCTAAGATGATGGAATTTTAACGAGGATCGCCTTGATAATTTGGGACACGCACTCGACGATAATTTCTTTATTATTCGAAACAATTGGCAATTATAATCGTTCGTAAAGTGGCTGTGAAATACTCAATTATGGAGTAGGGCCTGAAAAAGAAAAGGTTTCAGTGTTCCAATGAAACAAAGCTCAAGACATTTTGATGAAACCCCCTTTCGAAATTTGAATTTGAGCGGCACATTACTCGGAAAATGACTGGCCATAAAGACTTGAAACGCAAGCTAATCGTAGCTTCCGACCTTTATGCCGGCTAAGAAGGGCCACAAGTAGGAAGCCTGCCAATTTGGGATATACTTAGTAGCTATATTCACAAGTTTTTCACAAATACAATCATTCTAAGAAGGTAAACTTAAGAAAAAGTTAATTTTAATTATTCTAGACCATTAAGTAAATATGTCTTAAAGTTGTTGTATTAATTATTTAGTAGACAAAAAAAAACACTTTAACAACTAAACAAGTTTAACTAATATATCGCGTTTTAAACCGTTAAAGCGTTTTATTTAAATATTAGATATATTACTTATTAACCTATATTACGTTTCAACTGTTCGATGTCAACTTGATATCATTATAATTTCATATTTTAGGTTATTAGTAGTTCATTGTATTTTTTCTTTTTACTAAAGAAAACTACAAGATACATAACAGGCTACCTAGTATCTTAGCGTATGTACTTATATTTTGTATCTATGTATATCCTTTTTTGTAGTTTATTTTTATGAATAGTTATACCTATAACTATTAAAGGTTTAATAAGTGTTTGATTATCTTTTAATGGATTGGTTATGAAACATAAAGTGGAAAGCATTTCTTTATTTAATTAAGGACTTATGAATAGGGAATAATTCAGTTTGTGTCAAGACGTTTCATAGAAGCGGGACGCATTTCGAATTAGCTTTCAATAGATGGATTAATTAGACGCAAGTTCTAAATAGCAAAATCGGTCGCGTCTAGAGATACAGCTTCTACTTGGCACATATCCGTCGTCTTCGAGTATATTATTTACTCAATTCTACTACATTGACATGAAATGACAATCTGTGGGAGTGTGAAAGCCCGTTTCCTCCTCGTGGGGCATGGGGCGAACACATTTTTGTGTTCGTTTCATTGATCCGTTATTTTAACGGGCGAGTAGTTGATCAGACTTCTGTGCCCTGCTCGACCGAAACAACTTTTTTTTGTTTTCCTGGGATTCAAACCCAGGACCTCTCGGGTTTAACGCAAAAGGCAATACGTTTAACCATTTGGCTACACAGGGTTTTAATCTGTAGGAGAATAATCATTTTGAATGTGTCTGTAGTTCAAGCGAGCCATATCTATTAAATCATAGCTTAATATATTTCGGTTTTAAATGGTTTTAAACGTGAAACATATTAAGTAATGGATATTACGTTTTGTATACTTATCAACATCCCTAAACCCCATGTTTCACGGACTTATATAATTCACGTTTAAATTAGTTATTATTTTAAAAATAATAATGGCTTCCTATTTCCATCATATATTTGCCGGAGTCGGGAAAATATAGTCTTGATAAAAGCTATCGCTTGCAAACACATTTCGACGATTGAAAGATACAAATACAATCAAGTAGATCGAATTACTATGCCTTTACCAGCCGAAAAAAATATTTTGTGTTCCGATTTTTATCCTAGATAAGTTCAAGTATGATAAAAATAAATTGACAGATGACGTTCGCAAACTATCTATAATAATGCAGTATATATATATATATACTGCGTTATAATCGATAGATATATTTATAAAACTGAAGAGTTTGTTTGTTTGTTTGAATACGCTAATCTCAGGCACTACTTGTTCGAATGGAAGAAGTATTTTTGTGTCGGTTATAATATTTATGGAGAAAGGTTATAAAACATCGTGCTGTGTGTGTGTAAAAAGAGTGAATAAACTGTGGAAAATGAGAAAAAATCTGAAAACAATATTCATCTTCGTGAGTTTCCAATGCGTACATTGCGAAAACGGTTCAAGATACCCAAAAAATATGTATGATGTTAATGATATAAAAAAATGTCTGTGACACTATTTATCTATCTTTTAAAATTAACTTGCAAGAACGACGACCGACGTCATGGGTAACAACTAAAATGTATAACGCGGTCGAAGTCGCTGACACAGCTAGTTATAAGGATAAAGTAGATACATCTCTCGATAAGGTTTTTATTGTTGTATGCAAATCGGGAATGTTCTACTTTCAATGTCTGGCTCGTGTGACGTTTGTCTAGATGCCGCGTGCCAAAGCGGTCGCTCACTCGATAATTACAATCGAATATTCACTAAAAGGTCAATGTTTGTCGAAAAGCTTTAATTTTAGTTGGATTGTATAACTGACTAGCTATTGCCAGATGACAGATATAAGACATAGATATAGACATACGTGACATTATGCAAAACGTGCATACATCAATAAGTTGAATAAAATCGACAAAGGCGAAGGCAGTACGGAACGCTATAGATGCTGGTACAAGCCGTGACACAATTTATAGTAATATGCCTACTAAACAGAAAGATGTCGCTAAAGAAAGTACACTTTTTATGAAAATACCGATATTTCAACAATGTTTCTCTATGGGGCATAGGGCGAACACATATCTGTGTTCCGTATCACTGTGCTCAGCTCAAACAAAACAATTTATTCTCTTGTCAGAATTCCAATCCAGGATCGTGTGCGTTGACCATTTAGCTTCGGTGACGATACCACTTCTATAAGAACCTTAAAGATTTCCGAATGACTCAGTCTATACAAAGCCTATATATATAGATTGTGCTGAGTTAAGGCGTTAAAGATGAATCAATTAATACGTTAAAATAATATCGTTTATTTTAATGTTGGAAAAAATATTTTATTAGAGTTTCTTTAGTTATTGATTATGTTTTATCTGCAGAACGGTTTTCTATGAAATTGCTAATCCTTTGTGTTTATTTACGAAGACTCATATTCAATAAGGTAAAAATGAAATGCCGAAGTAATAATAGGGGAGGCGGGCGGCCGTTTCTTCTCCGTACACGGGTCTGATGGGGCGTGGGAATCGGTGTACATTTCATTAAATATCGAGAAACGAAGAAAATAAACTTTTCTTGCACACTGAATATAAACAAAAGCACATGCCTATTAAACTAAACTAGATTTTAAGTAGTTTTTATTTGCGTTAAATTGCACGTAATATTTACTGAAAAAATATGACAAGGGCGGGGCATGAACCCAGGTCATACGTCAAAGTCGAAATAAGTTAATATGGAACAGACAAAGCCAAAATATGTAAATAAAACACTTTAACTGTTTAAAACGCGATATATTTTAAACCGTTAAAGTGTTTTATTTAAATGTGTACTACTCGCGTAAACTATAGATAGTATTTAAAGCCAAAATAGTCCGACGGCGCATCTAACTGAGGTATCGCCTCGTGAACCCCGTGCTCGTTTGTCTTAATCATAAAAAAAAGTTTGCAAGAGCTTCATTGGTGGAGCCACAGCACAGTGATCTGATAGACGTAGGATCTATTCTAGTCTTATGATAATGATTTATAAAATGTTGTATACAATTGCAAGTATCAAATACATAAAGTAACCATACTAATTCGCTTTTGACAAAATCGTAACCAACATATTGGACGTGTCAAGGTTGACCCTTGCTTTCTGAGATCTTTTATAAAATCGAGGAGATTTCTGAGAAGAAGCGGGCAAATTGCATGCATTTGCAATTTCTTCCCGCAATGAGTGGTCTTAGTGTCTGCTACTCAGTGCATCTTCATTTACTTTATGTTAATAAGTTGGTGCTTAGTCGGGGAATAGTCAGCAGTTTTACGGAGGCAAGCTGCACCTTATCGGCAGGGGCGAAGGAAGCTTCGGGGATGGCGAGGGTTGCGGGAGGCCTCGCAGTTCTGTCAGTGCTGGCCGCACCGCCTCCGCGAGTGGACGCTGTGTCGCTGTCTCGTGTAGATTAACGTGTTTTTCACGAACCATATCCAATCGAATTAAGTGCTTGATAAACATTGGTGGAACGCATAGTTCGAAAATTTTATTGGACAAGGAATGACAATACTCCAGATGTTTCGGTATGTGTAAATTTTTTTGTTGTTGAACTTATTTTAACAAGTATTCAGTTTCACTTTTAAGAATGTTTAACTAGTAGACTAGTATGTAGACTCTTAATATATATGCACCAAAACTATCTGGGAATAACATACAATTACTTAATAACATAAAAAAATTTAAAACTTATACCATTTATGTATGTACACTACAGTGTAGAAAATATACTTAAATGTTTCAATTTAAATGTTTTCTTTCGAATTATTTTTATTATTCTTTGGAGATTTACCCATCCTGAACCTTAATCCAAATAGGTACAGCTTAAAATACTATGCCGTAGTGGTAGTAAATGTGACTGCGCAGGTGAAGATTGGCGACAATGGTACAAATATATTATATAGCTATTGTATTAAAACTTTTTTGTTGTAAAACTAAAATGTATTTATTGGCTAATTCTTCATTATATAAATGACGTGAAAAATAACACAAAAACGTATGCCTGTATGGATTGCAATGAGCGACCTTATAGCTAATAAGTTCTTCCAGACAACAAAATTAAAGAAAAATCAAATAAAAAGGAGATGCAAGATGGTCGAAATAAATACATATAAAATCTCTATCTCAGATCTTTACCAAAAGTTACGTATTTACTAATTTAAAAATATTTGTAAGTTTGAAGCAATTATAATCATTATCGGGAATAGTGTAAAACGGGTTTGCCGTTAACTGTAAACAGTTGAGTTGCGTAGCGTACACGCAATATCTATGACGTAGCAGCGTCTTCGTTTAGGTACTCCCTGAGACATGCCTATTTTTAATCACATAATTGTAATATATAAGATTAGTGTAATACTTTTTTGATAAATAAAACTTGCTTTGATATTTATTGTCTGTTTGAGTCTATGCCGCGTAAAAATTTAACTTAAAAGACCGTTGTAATGTCAAATTGACATCTACTTTGACAATTTATAGCCTGGTTGATTACATAGACTATATTAAGAACTAAATTTAAAGTTTAGTAAATATAAATACAATTAAATACACTTATAATGTTTTTATAATATTATTTTTATCTTATTAAACTCATTTTACAACTATATTTCAAGAGTCCTAGAGCATCTTTTATTTAATACGCTAATGGAGTTATAATTGAAGTAGTATAGTTTAAGAATGTATTATGAACCATATAGACGTCTATAATTATGGACAGTGTTCAATTTAATTGGAACGAACTGTAATTAGATCTAAGTAGATGTTTTACTATTAATGTATGCCGTTATATATCGTTCCCCGAATCTGTCCATACATAAGGAAAATTGTCCTCAAGGGGCTACTAAATTAGCTCGTTAGATTCAGAATGTAAGGCCGAGGTTACATAATGCGATTAAGTAAGGTCGCCTCCTAAGTAAATAGATAGGACCACTTAACTTGGCACTATTTCTTTTATTTCCCCTAATTCTAGGTTTGACTACACTTTAGCTTATTTGTTCATATACCTGAAAGCTTTTTTCACGTGTTATTGGACGTAATGGCATTATATAAATTAAAAACTCATTTCTTACGTGTTAAAGACACATAATCTGTTGTCGTATAATTTGTATATTTTATTAACATAATCAGAATGTAGTAAATGTAAAATTGCTTGAATAAGTCTTCGGTTAGCTGCCTGCATTCATGAAATTATTGTTTCGGCTTTTTAGGAAAATGATTGATCACCTACTATCAAAAGTGTGTATTTCTCATGCCCCACGTAGAAATTGTGCCTTTGTAAATGCCCTTCATAAAACACTTTATTTTCTACGCAGTTAATAAAAGATCTACCGAGTACTAATTAGATTGTATGAAGTTTTATATTAGAAGACAAAAATGACTAACAAAAAGCAACGAGGTTTGTATGGACCGCCCTCTCCTCGCAACATTCATTAGTGAAGCTCCGGACATAAAATGCAACAGTTGCTGTGTGCATGCGGACAGAGTCCCGATTTGCAATTACTGTTTTGTTGCTTGTTCTGTGCTCTGCGTTAAGTTCGGTCGATGGGCAATGCGCTGCAGGCTTGGACTCAAAAGGTTGTCATTACGTTGTCGGAAATCAGGGAGCGTCGTACGGTAAGGGTGTGGTCTCCGAAAAACGTTGTACGCCGCGTTACGCGTTACGTCACTTACGGATACATAAATGTACTGTTGTTGTCTCTTTCACAGTCTTTAAAAAATTATAGCCGCATATGATATACAAATAAAAGCCTTTATTTAATTTATAACAGTTTCTTTAAATTTTATACTAATATTGTTTATCGATTACTGATGTAAACGAATTATGTTGTTGATCTTCTTGACTCAAGATAACGCGTTGTTTTAATAGCATTTATAGGTGACCACAGACTAATATGGATAATGTTCCTGTTGGCGGATGAGATGCATTAGATATTTCAACGAAGTACGAATGTAAGGAAAAAGTGTTGTAATGACTTTATCGTCCGAGAGTGCGATTTTTCAATTGGTTCTTCGCTTAAGGGGTGCATTGTAGTCTTTCATATGGTGTTTAATTATTCTGTTCTTTGTTGGAAATGGAAATGGTTTTGTATTGTTGTTAGGTTAGCAGTTAATATACTCTGGAAGACTGCTGATCCCGGGTTCGAGTTTCGAAAACCCAGCCGAAAATGTAATAGTAGGAGATGCAATCAGTACTTACACTCAGTATTACTCGATTTTTATACTTATTTGGTTTTTATATTGTATTCGATATAAAGGCTACATTCTTAAAAACCTCTCCATAAGAGGGCAGATCTCTGTCCAGCTATTAAAAACATATGTCTGCAGTAAACCCTCTTGTGGCTATAATTTATTAAAGACTAAAAAATATATTTTTTAATCAACATATAAAACGATAGCTATGCCCGCGACTTCGTCCGCGTGGAATAGTGACTTGGGGTAGAATTTTTAATTATTTAGGCTGTTTATTAATTTATGTAAGGGCACATTTAAGGCAGCCAATCTATGTTGTAAGTGCTACTTTGCCGCAACACTCACCTCACATCACTCCTACTCTAATTCCTACACTCACTCCAACTCGCACTCCTATTCTCAGAAATCCAACGAAGAAAGTTGCAAGTTCATCCCGTTTTTCAACCCCTATCAACCTTTTTTTGTAAATAAAAAGTAGCCTTTGTCCTTTCTCAGGGTCTAGAATATCGTTGTGCCAAATTTCATTTAGATCGGTTCAGTACTTTCGACGTGAAATCCGGACAGACAGACAGACAGAATTACTTTCGCATTTATAATATTAAGTAGTGATGTGCTTAAACAAACTGTAATTATTACCTTTACTAATTAAATTTAATATTTGATGATTAATAATATGGTTGAGATTATTTAAATCGTAAAGGAGAAAACTGTTTCGTTTTAGTCTATTAATGTGCCACTGCTGAAAGTACAGGTCCTGGTACAGGTTGTAACCGTCATCCACATAGGTCACCACATACAGGGTAATAAAAAGTTAGGCCAAAATTGCTACGCCAATGCAAGATTTATAGAGTACCGTATACACAAATAGTGGTGATAACTCTGACGGTTTAGCATGTCCTTCAAGGTATGGCAAATTGATAGCTTCTATTTTCAAACTCCTTGTGGGTAGATCTATAGTGAGGAGTGGGTAGGTTTGAAATTTTTCAAATATCGAAGTAATGTTTCGGCCAAGTGCACTAACCACTCGACCAAGGAAGCAGTTATGTATTTTTGGTTATATTAATCGTAGTATTTTTTTATTATTATCATGAAAGAAAACGAATTTTAAAGAAAGTATACTTAGTATAGCATGCATACACAAGAAAAGAGATAGTGTTTTCTTATCACCATGAACGATTTTATCTTGATGGACTTTGGGTCATGACACACTCTCGTAGCTGCTCCTATTTTACTATATCTTTTATAACGTGTATCGTAGAGTGAATCGTGTTTTACATCAATATATTTTTAATATATAATGCCTAGGCATGTTATTTCTTTACTTTTTAATCGCAAAAGGATTTTTATATATTAATTAGGATTTATACAAAAATGAGATAAGAAAAGTAAAAAATGGAATCCTGGTTGTTCTATTTTCGCCATAGTGGAGACACACTTTGTCTACAGTAAAGTAGACAAAGAAGTGTGTGGTCAAATTTAATTAAACAGAAAGGTTTGACAGACAAGTTCTGTCTGACAAAAAAAAGTATTGTTTTCCCAGCGATTATTATTAAGTATTATCACGTATATCGCAATGCGTATAATCACTGAACAAGACACAATAGTTTTTTACTACATATTACATTTACATTTTTCTAACGTATTGAAATTAACCAATCTTAGCGGTTTAAAACAAAACAGTTACTTAAGTTATTTTAACTACAAGCTGACGTATCAAATGCCGTGCAGGAGCCGTGGTTACGAATGAGCTGAAGATGGAGGGTATCTAGAATGTCAAAGTCAAATGTGCTACCAGTGCCATCTGTTTTCTCGGAATTGAATTTGGAGAAACTAGTTGGCTTCTTACAGAACTGACTTACGTACCCTCTTGTTTATCGATGTTCCGTCCTTTATAATAGAAATAAATTGTAACATAGTTGTATGTATTCTATTTCAGTCGCAAACCATTTCCCAGTGCGATTATTAAAAGTTAAAATTAGATTCAATTTAAAATGCCATCGTAAAAATAATATTCTTAACTGGTACCGACGCGCTATTTTTACCCTTCCACGACTTGTTCTTTTTCAATGAATTATACTGTGCATGCATAAATGATATTAAGAATGCTAAGCTTTGCATTGACTTTCGACGTGAAAATTTCTATTGCGTTTTGTCATGAAACGTGTTCACTTAGTTTATAAGGTTATTAGGTTATCCAAGCACGTCTCTTGTTTATACTAAAATAGTTGAA